CACACTCTACCCACTAGACCTCACTCCTCTCCCAGGTGTCCTAGCTCCTTCCTTACCTTGGGGAGAGGCGGAGGATGACCCATGTGCCCAGGATGGTGACCAGCGAGTGCAAGGTGTGGATGTTGCAGGTGACCAGCGTCAGGAGCAGCCCCACAGCTGCCCCCCCAAACTGCTTCACTTGGTGTCCTGGGGGGGGGAGGGGGAGGGGAGGAAAGAGAGACAGATTAGATCCCAGCTCCCTTCCCACCGAGACCCCCGGGAGCAAAGTCAGCTGGGACTTCGGGCGACCCGGGCGGGGACTGGGGTACGGGGCATCTCCCCTCTAGGAGATGCCGGCTCCCATCCAGCCTTGGGGGGGGGGTGGCTGGCTTGGGGGGCAGGGAATGGGGCACAAGGGAGCTCAGGAGGTGGGGATCCTGTACCCCCAAACACCCATCCCCTATCAATGGGACCCCAGAGTCCAGAAGCTTCTACTACAAGACTGGCAGGGGGAAGCTAGTGCCAGGGTCCCCCGCCCCCATGCGCCAGCCCCCCTAAAATACCTCCAGACCCATTCTAGCTTGAGCCCCCCCCCCCCCCCCCCCCACCCCCCCCCCCCCCCCCCCGCCCCCGGAGCTGAACCGGAATGGAGAGAGGAAATCTTGCAAGAGGAAGCTGAGGTGAGGAAACCCCAGACTGGGCTGGGTGGGGCACACCGGAGGGAATGGGGGGAAGGGCCCTTGTTGGAGGGAAAGGGGGGGGTCACTTTGGTGGGACTTTTTCTAGCCCCAATCCCTGTTCCACCCCCAGCAATGGCTTGAAGGGGAGGGGCCAGAGTTGCCCCCCCCCAGTCAGAGTCACTCACCCCCTCTCTTGAAGACAAAGCCAATGGGGATAGAGAAAAGCAGCACGGCCAGGTAGGTCCATTCCTCCGGGGTCATCCCAGCTCTGCCGGGGGAGGAAAAACAGTGTCGGGCAGTTCCACAGATCACCCACCCCACTGGAGCGGGGGGCAGCGGCTGCAGGGGGCGCTGAGGGCTCAGCTCCTCTACAGGTGGTAGGGGAAGAGCAGGGAGGGGAGATCCAGCCCCAGGGCAGGGACTGGCTGGCTCGGGGGGCAGGGAATGGGGCACGGGGCCTCTCCCCTCTAGGGGCGCTGGCAGCAGCTGGCATCCGTTGCTCTCATTCCATGGCCTGGGGAGTGTATCGAGTTTGCTGAGTCTCAGCCCCACTCCCAGGAGCCCCCATCACCCAGCCCATCTGGGTGCCCCCTGGCCTCCCCACAGCCAAGTGGCTATGGGATGGACGGGCCACAGAGACCCAGCCTTGGGGGGTGGGCGCTAAGACAGCAAAGTGGGGGGGCTCAGTGCGTAAGTGAGGTAGAACGGGGAGCTGTGGGGGGCAGTGCAGCAGCGGGGTGTCCTTGGCTCTGGGGGGTGCACAGCCTCTGCCGGGCCGTTCCCTACCCCCCAGTTCACCCACTAGGGACTATCAAACTGCCCTGTCACCCCCCAGTGGCCACTGCCCAGCCTCCTCCCCCCCAGACACTCCCCCTCCACACCGAGCGGCACAGCCACATTCACTCTCCTTCCTCACCTTCCCTTCAGCCCCCGCAGCACGAACCCCTCAGCAAGTGGGGTCTAGTGGTTAGAGCAGGGGGGTGAGGGCTGGGCCCCCCGAGTTCTATCCCACGTGGGCTCCCTGCTCCCTCCACCGCCAGCTAAACCCCGGGCCACTAGCTGCCTCAATCCCTTCCAGTCTCTAATCCACGCAGTTCACCCCCACATTAGCCATTGCTGGGGAGAGAGGGGTACAGGCCCCTCCCCGTTTAATCTCCCCACACCTATTAATCCTCTCCATTAGGGGCACTCCTAGGGTCCCTCATCCCAGACCAGCCCTCATTGCGCCAGGAGCTGTATGTTATTTTTTAGGTGTACTACGGTAATTCCTAGCCCCGCACCCATTGCGCCAGGCGCTGTACATTATTTTTAGGTGTATTATGGTAATTTCTAGCCCCGCACCCATTGCGCCAGGCACTGTACATTATTTTTAGATGTATTACAGTAGCTCGTAGCCCCACACCCATTGCGCCAGGTGCTGTACGTTATTTTTTAGGTGTATTACAGTAGCTCGTAGCCCCACACCCATTGCGCCAGGCGCAGTACAAACACAGAACAAACACACAGCTCCCACCCGCTGCAGCTCAACCCCAGATTAACAGTCCGGCCCGAGAGGCAGACAGGGGGCTTAGAAGTAGTGGGAACCCCACATCAGGTGGGGATGGGAAACACCCTGGAGTTTCTCCCCCCTCCCCACACTTCAAGTGCAGCCCCGCAGCCCCCAAGTTCACAGCGTTACTCACCAGCACCCGGCACCAACTTCTCCCGATGGGGGGGGGGTCAGTGCAGAATTCACACCCCTGGGGCACCTTTGCACGAATTCACACCCCTGGGGGCTCTTTTGCACGGATTCACACCCCTGCGAGCGATTCCCTCCCCCACTCAGCCCCTTACTTTGCTGCCGGGCTACCCGCCCGCCCCCAGCTCACTTCCTCCGCGCCCTGCACCCATTGGGCCCTGCAATTTGCAACCCCCCCTCCACTCTCTACCCCTCCTCGGGTATTGGCCAATGGGGCCGTCGCTCAGCTGC